CATAGAATGTAAACAAATGGTGTATAGCATTAAAGATAGCCCCTCAACCACTGTCTATAGCATAGTTGCAGCCTTGAATATTTACCAATATTCATTGAGTTAAATTTGAGTGGATTTTATTGTAGTCAAATGCGTCGGCGACATAGCGAAGACCTGGACGGTGGTTTCAACAGCAAAAGAGGCAGCTATCAATGGAACTCACTCTCTGTCCATATATGAACTAGTAGTTCTCGTTTGTTAGTCTCCTTGGTGTCTAAACTGGATAGCAAATAACTCTCATGATCAGCTACCACTTCCAATATCTATCCTTTACTTATTGTTAATTCGTTTAATTTTGATTTCCTTCAAAATATTTGAAAATTTATTCTCCTCTATATATCTGTATTTCATTTGTGTCATACATGTCCTTTCACTCCCCAAGTATTTGTAGAGTCCACTGATTTTTTAAATTTCTTTCTATAAACATCACTAAAACTTCCAGCCATTCCGCTGTTAATTAAACCACTCATTAGCACATAGCTATATGATCTTAACTTGTTAGACCCCCGTTTTGTCTATATTAAGATCACACAATATGAAGCATACAATAATGCTTTGCTCTTAACATGTCATAATCTCGCTGAGTTTCAAGGTTTGGGCTCTTAATCTGTTAAATCTCTAAAATTGAGTTAATCCTTAAGAGTATTTAGTTTAATATACGTAATTATTATTGAAATTATCGTTTAGTTCAATTAACATACATAAATATGGTTAGGTTTGACACGCTCTTCACATTAATACTCCGCGTTCTTTGGTGTCCACATCTTGACTTTTGATCTCAGTTACTTTTCTTGTTGCTACATGATATTTTCGAAGTACCTAAATATTTTTTGTTTGTTCTTATAGGTGATTCCGCTATAATTTATTTTCTCTTCAAGACTTTACCAATGTATCATCGAAATCTATCCCGCAAACCAAACCTGCGCAATACAAAGCTACTTTTTGGTCAAAATTATCCGGAACCCATAATGGTCTGAGCAACGTGTGTTTTCATATCATTGGTATGTGTCTTTAATTTTACTATTAAAGAAAATATGAATATTAAGGAAAAAGGTATTCAAACTTAAAGCACCCAAACCCCAAATATATTATCAGGGAATCATTTTCATGTATATTTTTATAGAGGTTCATGATGTATTTTTTATGTTCCTTCTAATTTAGATCCAAATTAAATTATCATATCTTAAACCATATATCTTATTTATTTTTTTAAATTTATAAAATAACCTTGATTTTATGCATAACTGCGAAAAACTAGATAAGAACAATTATGTAGTTTAGTTATAGAATAAATTAAAGATACGACGAGAACATATTTGTAGTTGTGTGAACGAGACAGTGGTGGTTAATTGCTAAACTATGACGATGGTGATAACAGATCTATGTGGAAAACAATAGTATCCAGGCCTAATAGATAGAGGTGAACTACAGAGGATTAAGCTCATAGAGATCAGCGTAACGTATATGAGGCATACATTAATAGATCTTGTTGATAATTGCTGTTTCGAGATGATTGTCTTTAATCTTCATATTTGTTTATATTAATTTTCACCTTATTTATCTATTTAGAAACTATCTAATATAAATTTTCATTATATTTTAGTTCATATTTAAGCGAGTGTGCGGGACTGTGCAAAGAACTAAAAGTGCGCGGTTTTTATCTTAAATCATATTTAGATGTAATCATTAAGTATTGAGATACCTTCATCTCCATATACTTTTCCAGTTTAGCATAAGACGCATATTGAACTCATCTGATTTCTGAGCACAACGCTTGTACTCAATATTAACAATCATAATTTTCATAAGTTGACACAACAGCCGCCCATAAAATACGCTGCCATCCGACCACGCCATTGTGCGGATACTAGCCCATTCAATTTGAGCCTTGCTCATAGATCTTTCATCTCTTATAGACTATTGAAAGTGGTTTTCGCAATTCTAGCACCACAACGTTTCGTCGTGGTCCTGTTTGGATATGGCTGATTTTTTCCAATACGCTCAACTCCACAAGTGCTCTACCATTTGGAATAGAGTCTTAATGCGTGCATAGCTAAATTAGGATGGCTATAGCAGGTATACCCGTCGTCGTAAGTCGCTTGTTTAAATTTATTGAAATCCACTCGATAATATAAAGTACAGTTAATATATTTGATTGCATACTTTATTTTTGAAATTTAACTTTAGTGTTGGTTGATGTGTGACTTTATCAAAATTGTAGCTTACTGTTTGATGATCAAACTTAAACAATATTTACATTAATCCATTCACTTGAATTGAAATGTGGCATCCAAGAAAATATGTGGATAACACCTAAGATAAATATTAGGTGAACACAATCTGAATGACTGATACGCACCAATTTAGAATTAAAACTTAAAATTAATATATACTCTTCTAAACGACTAATGCTGATTTATTAGCCACTTTGTAAACACTACACTATTTATTTACCACATCTTTATGCCAGTACCTAACTGTGAATGTCTTCCATTCACCATACTAAATAGGTCTTGGGAAAAGCACGATACACATATATATGGCATGGTTCTAAAGCAAGTAATAGAAATAATAGAGCCTTTATGGTACAGGATTTTTAATATTTTACGGGCATTCTTTTTTTTCAACTGAAATCATTTATTTTAAAGAAACTTCCCACATTCTCCACATAACCATTCACTCACATAATTTACATTTATTAGCATCCTAATTGCTTATTGGGCGACGCCATTAATAAAATGAAGATTAGTGGGCAATTTCAAAATATTAATAGGATACCTAAAATTATGAATTTACTAAACTTTATTTATAATATTAATCAAAAAAAATACTTGGACGTAATCGTTGTTACATTAATAATTAATATAGCCAAATTATTAGCTATTTAATAGACAAATAGAGGAGGGAGTAATTAATTGTAACTATTATTATCATATTCTTCTAAAAGCCTATACGAAGATCGAGTCAGTATAGTAGACATATAGAAATAATATGAAAGTAATTATAATCGAACAAATATTAAATCATATACGACAATAGCTATAAGCATATGAGAGCAGGGATAAGATTTTTTAAATTGAAATTTGAACAGGAGAAAGTATAGGGTTTCCAATTAAAATGAATTCACTGATTACAGCATAGGATTGACAAGGTTATAACGAATTGCAAGAAGATTGAGAAGGCGGTTTAATGGGTATGAGTTGTATGTGAGCTTTGTAGACCATGAGATGGTGGAAAATATTAAGTGAGGAGTTGGTGATGGTAAGGAGAGCTTCAAATGGTCTGTGGTTTGATAGTTGTGGTATGAATAGATGAGCCGTTCTGAAAAGTGGGATCTAAATTGAATAGTAAGTAAGCAGTAGGGCAAGAGGACAATCACAGATGAATCAGAGCAGGCATGTAAAAAGAGGAGCCGAATATGAGCTCGTAGCAAAGGAGATCAGGGGCCTTGGCCGCAATGGCTATTGTTCTGAAAGACACGAATTCAGTAAAGTATTGGCTGGAGGTGAATTAAAATAGAACGAATCCAA